TGTGATTGCATCCTCCTGTGCCTGAGGGTTTTGGGGACACCCACCTGTCATGCTTGGTGTCCCTTCTTGGGCTCACTGGTGCCTGGCTGGATCCAAGGAAGGGCTGCGAACTTCTTCTAGGTCCCCTTTTGATGGGAGGACTTGAAGGGCTCCCTTGCTTTGTGACATCAGCCTGGAAGTAAGTGTGAAGTGCTGGGGTGGGAGGGTCAGGAAGACGATGCTGTGCAGCCTCCATTCAGCATGGACTTTAATTTTTTATTTTTTAAAAATTTATTATATAAATTTAGTTTCTTAAAATTTAATTGAATGTGCATGAGGGTTTTGCCTGAATGTATGTCTGGGCACCACTGTGGGTTTTGTGTATGTGTTTGTGTGGTGCGCGTGTGTGGAGGTGCACACACGTGTGTGGAGGTGCACACACGTGTGTGGAGGCCAGAGGTCAGCCTCATGTATTCTTCATGATGCAGTCTATCTTATTTTTAAGGCAGGATCTCTCACTGGCCTAGAGTTCGTGGATCTGTCTGAGCTGGCCGGCCAGCGTATGTTAGGGATCCACTTGCCTCCCAGGGCTGGGATTAGAAGTGTGTGCCACAACTTCTGCATGGGTTCTGTGGTCAAATTCTGGTCTTCACGCTTGTGTGGCCAGGACTTTACCAAGTGAACCATCTCCCAGGCCCCAGCAATGAGTTACTTATGGATTTCCCCAACATTGGTCTGCAGAGGTAATCCCTGAGTCACCTGCCAAATGCTCTCTGCTGGAGTGCAGTTGTGAAGCACATCTGTATATGTATGTGGGTGTGTAAACATGCACGTGTGTGGCCATGTGCATGCTTTGTGTATGTAAATGCATGGCAGTACACATGCTTGTGTACGCAAGCTCTGGGGGTGTGCACCGATGTGTGTGACATGTTTTGAGTGTGTACGCACACATGTATGCATGCATGAAAGCATAAGCTTGTTTTTGTATGTCTGTGTGTGCATGCTTTGGGTATGTACACTTTGGAAGTTTGTACTCATGTGTGCACGCATGAGAGTGCAAGGGCCTATGTTTGCATGCTTTGGATGTGCGCAAACATGAGGGTGTCCATGCATGAGTTTGTGTGTGCTTGTGTGTGTGTACACTTGTAATGTATGCATGAGTGTGTTTGTATTTGAGTGTGTGCATGCTCTGAGCGTGTGCATTTGAAATTGTGCACAAGTATGAGTGGTGTGGGGGTGGGGGTGTGCATGTGCGGATGTGTGCACACTTTGATTGTATGCTTGGGTGTGTGCATGCTCTGAGTATGTCCATGCATGCATGTGTTGGTGAGCTTGGGTTTGTTTGGGTGTTTGCACTGTGCGCTTGCCTGTGCAAGCCTATGAGTGCGTGCAGGTGTGTGCCTACACTTTCAGTGCAGCACACGTGTGCCGTTCTAACAGCACTTTCCTGGGCTGCTTCTGCCTGGTCACCCCACCGTCATATCCCACAGGGTGGTGACTGTGGCCAGAATGAGGCAAGGCAGCCGCCAGCTGGCCCTGGGAGGAGCCCTGTGTGTGTGTGTGTGTGTGTGTGTGTGTGTGTTGGGACTGGCAGCCTGGCACAAGTCACTGGCCAAATTAACTCAAGTTTCCTTTGGGGAAAAATGTCATCGGTTATTTCATTTGGGTCCATTTTAGCAAATTAACTTGTCTAACGTTTCCTTCTCGTTTGTTTTATTGGGCAGAGGAGGGGGAGGGGAGAAGAGGAGGGACCCCGCAGGGACCAGAGCCCAGCTGGGACAGCTGCTGGGAGAAGCTTCCCGCGGGAGGGTGTGTGTGTGTGTGTGTGTGTGTGTGTGTGTGTGTGTGTGTGTGTGTGTGTGTGTGTGGCTGAGATGTGGAGGAAAGGGGATCTGGGCTGAAGTGGAGTCTTGGCCGCAGGTGGGGGCTGATGGGGCCTTGGGTCTGCTTGGGACCTGGGGTGGAGCCTACATGGGAGGGAGACGTCAACAGTCATGTGTCACCCACTTGGAGGGCAGGTAAAAAGACTCCTAAGGTCCGATGAGGCCTCCTGAGCCATCGACTCCTGGCCAGAAGAAATTAGTCCAGAAGATTCCATCAGGGCCACTCTATGTGTCTGATCTCACTGCAGTCACCCCACAGGCACTGAGGAGCTCAGCTTGCCTTCCTCAGGCTCTCCCTCCCCCGCTTCTTCCCTCACTCATTCGTTTAATTTAGAGACAGGATCTCAGTGGATCCCAGGCTGACTGGCCTCCCACTTGCCACGCAGTCAAGGATGATCTTGAACTTGTGATCCTCTTGCCTCCACCTCCCAACTGATGAGGTTCCAAGCCTGTTCTACCACGCTTGGCTTATGCAGTGCTGGGGATGGAACCCAGGGCTTCCTGCCTGCCAGACAAGCACTGCCCCACTTAGACACAGCCCCAGACTGCTCTCTCTCTGCCCACTCCTCTCTCTGTCTCCCTCCTCCCTCCCATTTCCTCTTCCTCCCTTTTTCTCTCTTTTCTTCCCTTCCCCGTCCCTCCCTTTCTTCTCTCCCCCTCCCCCCCCCCCCTCTTTCTTTTTCTGTGTTTTGAGCCGCACCATGTAGCTCAGGCTGGCCTTGAACTCCTGATCCTCATACATCCTCCTCAGCTGGGATTACAGGTTCACACCACTGCAGGCGTTAGACGTGGATGTCAATGGCTTATGGGACTCTCGAGATTCCTTTCTGGGCCGAAAGCAATAGAAAAACATCCCAGAGGATGTGCAGTGGAGTGTGACTGAGTGAGCACCCCCATCTGTCCATTTCACAGTTAGGAATGTGGAGTCTGGGGTGGCATAGGGAGCTGCATGCTTGTGCAGGTGCCTCCTATTTCCACACACCCCCCCTCTTGTGTGCGTTGGGACTGGCAGCCTGGCAACCAGTCACCGGCCAAATTAACTCAAGTTTCCTTTGGGGAAAAATGTCCTCAGTTACTTCATTTGGGTCTGTTTTAGCAAATTAACTCATCCAGTATTTTCTCCTGATTTGTTTTAGTGGGTGGAGGGCGGAGTGTGGAAACGGGAGGCTCACGTTATGGCCTTGGGAACAGCCTTCCCAGCTTCTCCCTCACGACAAACCCTCATCTCTGTCAGGAGCTTGGGGGAAATACTTCTTCTCTTGGGCTATGGGGTTATAAACGGGGTTGCATAAAGCGTGAGGACCTGAGTTCAAATCCTGAGCACCCATGTGAAAGCCAGACATGGTAGTGCATGCCTGTAACTCCGGTGTGTGTGGGGGGGGATGAGAGGCAGGACGATCTCTGGGGTTCACTGGCCAGCCAGTTCAGGCAATTGGTGTGTCCCAGGTTCAGTGAGCGATCCTGTCTCCCCAAATCAGGTGGAGGGTGGGTGACATGGCTCAGCAGGTACACACGCTGGTGACAGAGGTTTGCTCCCCCGGACGAAGTTGGTGAGGAGAGAGAACTGACATCCGAGAATTGTTCTCTGACCTCCACACCGTGCGCTTTGGCACACGCACAGAATAAATAAAAAGGCAATAAAAATATGATAAAATGATAACGTGGAGAGTTACTAAGGAGCACACCAACGCTGACCTCTGGCTTCTCTGCACACCTACACACACAAGATTTTTTTTTTTCTCTCCAGGTGTAGTGTTTGGCGGGAACTCACTGACAGAGTCCCGAGAAGCCAGCAGGATCCTGGTTGTCTGACCTGACTCTTTGCTGACATCCAGGGCCTTCCAGCCAGCCTCCTTTGGACCAAGCAGGCGCTGGGGAGGCGTGGCCAGATGACCTCCTGTGACCTTGTGTGGCCCAGGCACTCATCTCTCCCCTCCCATCTCCCACTGAATCTGACTCGAGACTGTCTATTTTTTTCGCCCACTACCTTTCAACTCAAGTTATGGTTTTATAAATAATATATACTGCAAGCCGGGCTCGGGAAGGACGTTCATTCTGCCCTGAAATATTTATAGCCCAGAATGTCTGCTTTCCTTGCCTCCGAGTCATTTTTCAGAGTGGCAGGCCGAGGGAGACACGCTTAGGCACATCTTTGACAGCGGCGGCACCTGGAGGAGAGCACTCTCTGCCCAGCTGCGGGCTGATCTATCCTGTGGCTGTAGAAGGGACAAAGCAGTTGTGCCTGGGGACAGTTCCTTGTCCCAGGCCTCTTAAATCATCTCAGATGGCTCAACACTGGGACAGACTAAGCGCCGCTGTCCTGGGAATGGACGGGGCTTTCTAACGTGTGCTTGGAATAATAACACAGTGGATCAGGATTTGGGATCCATCTGGAATCCTTAGTCCTGTGAGGTGGGTGCTAGAACTAAGTACTTTACAAATGGGGAACCTGAGGTGGAGAGAGGAAAGAAATGCAGAGGGCACACCGTAATGAAGTAGCAAAACAGCACGACGGTTTTTCGTTTGTTTGCTTTCTTGTGGGGGTGAATACGGTGTGGTCTGACACATACAATGGCCCTGATGGAATCTTTTCTTGTTTCATTTTTTTCAGTACTAGGGATTGAATCCAAGGACTCCCTGTGCTACACTATTGAACCATGCTTCTAGCCCCTCCCTGGGGGATTTTAAGCAGGTGCTCTACCACTGAGCCACACCCCAGTCCCTCACTGGGGGATTCTAGGGAAGGACAGGGAGGCACTGTGGACCTTTCAACTCTGTTGCCTACTGCTGTGTGGCCCTGGGATATTTACTGTGGGTGGGCAGGGTGGCACAGCTGTAGTTCCAGAATGTGGGAGATTGAGGCAGGGGGATCATGAGCCTGGGCTAAGGAGGATAAGGAAGAGGAAGGGAAGGAGGAAAAAGTGAAAATGAAAGCAAAGATGGAGAAGAAAAAGGAGGAGGAAGAAGAGAAGAAGATGGAGGAGGAACAGGAGGAAGGAGGGTTTCGTTTTATTTTTGTTTTTCAAGACAAGGTCTCGCTGTGTAGCCCTGGTTGTCCTGGATCTCACTCTGTAGACCAGGCTGGCCTCGAACTCACAGAAACCCACCTGCCTCTACCTCCCGAGTGCTGGGATCAAAGGCGTGCATCACTGCCACTGCAGGCTGTTTAATTCAGCTGATGGGGGCCCAGGTGTCCCCCTTTCTGGCAGGCCATTTGAATGTAGGCAGACCCTGACTCAGCCCCCCCATTCCTTCTCAGGTAGCTTGGCGTCATTCTTCCTCTACGTGTCTAGGGAGAGATGCAAGTCCCACCCACACGCCTCCAAATCCGGCCACAGCCCAATAAACAAGAACTGAAAGGAAGAAGCAGAGCCGCTGAGTTCCGGAGCAGGAGCAGGCGTCAGATGGCATCCACAGGAGGAACACTTTAAACACGTGCATATGTCTGAGTCTCCAGCTTGCCCGTGCCAGGCTCCAAACACTCTGTGGAGAGGAAGGGACGTGTGTTTCGATCAAGGTGCAGTTTACACATTGTTAGTGAATACCTGAGACGATGGCTTCCAGAAGGGACATAATGTGGGTCTCTCTTTTTATATCTGTCTCTCTCCCCCATTTCCTCCCTCCCTCCCTCTCTCTCCTGAGCGTGTGTGCATGTGTGTTCAGTGTATGAACATGCTCTCTTGAATATAAGTGCTGGGGGGTGGGGTGAGCACTGGAGGTCTACCACTCCCCAAATTATTTTTTGAGACAGGCTCCTCTCACCAAATCTTCAGCTCACCAATTTGGCTAGACTGAGCTGCGGAGATTAGCTGACCTCTGCCTGATCCGGTGTTATAGACGTGTGCTGCCATGTGCAGCTTTTTACGTGGGGTTGGGGATTCAAACTCAGGTCCTCAAGCTTGTCGGGCGAGTACTTTACCGACTGAGCCAACTCTCCAGCTGGACATACAGTGGGCTTCAAAGCATCTAATACTGTGCTAGTTCCTTGGTGGCGAGGTGAGTGAGGGCTTGGGAGTCAAGTGGATGGCCACCCTGCAAACAGTACCTGCATGCTTCATGCGCTGTGTAGATTCAGTCTATTTCACAGTAATTTCACCAAAAGCCTCAGACACGGGAGCAGGAGGGTGGCCCAGTCTGTGGGAATAACGAACTTCTCTCTAACAGATAAAGCAGGATGGCGCCCAAATCAGTGTGGTTCATTAATAGGAAAGACCGAATCAGTCCTTTTGAATTTGGGCTCCCCCCTCCTCCCCCGTCCCAAGGCATCCACTTCCGCTTAGGCAACATCTCCCTCTCTCATTTGCCACAAAGAAGAGCTTCACTTCATTTGAAGAGTCTCCTTGGGCTGGATGCGGCGGTGTACTCCTACGTCACCACGGGAGGAGCTGGGACATGCTTCCCCCAGTAAAGTCCTTTGCAAGGGGGAGGACCTGAGGCTGATTTCCAGAACCCACTGTTTAAAAAGCTGGGTTTTAAAAATAAAAGCACGGTGGCGCACACCTTTAATCCCAGCATTTGGGAGGCAGAGGCAGGCGGATCTCTATAAATCTGAGGCCAGCCTGGTCTACGGAGTGAGTTTCAGGACAGGCAGGGGCTACCCAGAGAAACCCTGTCTCTAAAAACCAAAAACCAAACCAAACCAAAACAAAACAAAGCTTCATTTCCCTCTTGAACCAGTGTCCCATCAGCTGCCACTTTGGTACCATGTTTTGGCCATAGGTCCTGTTTTTCTCTGTCCCCCATCCCATTTTTTCAGGATTTTTTTTTAGGATGGGGCGGGGATTCCTTATCTTATGCTGGATTCCTGCCAAGCCCATGACTCCTGGGTACTTGTACAGTCTCTATTCACCTACCTCCTGCGGCAGGGAACTCACTCCTCTCTCGATGGCTTCCTTATTTGAACATCTCCTTCCCTGAAGCCATCCACCCATGGTTCAGCAATCTGGGACAGAGACCGTGGCCCAGTGACATCTTTGGCAGATGTTTGCAGATAACAGCTGGATCCTCCTAAACGCCCTCCCTTAGAGGAAAAGCGGCTTTAGTGTCTCACACCGTGTTACTGTTGTTCACACCGTGTAAGCCAGCTCACCTCCCTGCTATCTCTGCATCCGTGTGAGGACTTGGAAAACCTGGGGGAAAGTGTGTATGGGAATTTGGGTGGGTTCAGATAAAAGGCAGATAGGAGGCTGGGGAGCTAGATCGGTCAGCGATGTGTACCGTTCTTCCCTTATGAAGAACTAAGTTTCAGCCCCACATCTCACATTTAAACAAACAAACAAACAAACAAACAAAAAAAGGCAGGTGTGTGCTTACAGTCCCAGAGCCTGGAGACAAGTAGATCCCTGGGGCCCACTGGCCAGTCAGCACAGACAGATTGATGAGTTCAAGGTCAGCAAGGACCCTGTCTCAGAAAACCAAGGTGGACAGGCAGGGGATGTACTCAGTTGATAGAGTGCTTCTCTAGCACCCTATAAATTAGTTATAGTGATTCATTCCTCTAACCCCAGCATTTGGGAGATGGAGGCAGAAGGAAGGACCAGAAGTTCTAGATCATTCTTAGCTACAGAGTGAATGTGAGGCCAGCCTGGGCTACATGAGACTCTGTCTCAAAACAAAACGAAAATGAAGCAACCCAAGGGGTGGACAACATCAAAGGAATGACATCCAAAGGTGTCCTCTGGCCTTCACCCACATGCACACATATGTGTACTTGCACACACATGAGCAGGTATGGAGAGAGAGAGAGAGAGAGAGAGAGAGAGAGAGAGAGAGAGAGAGAGAGAGAGAGAGAAAAGAGAGAGACACACTCAGAGACAGAGAGCGCGAGATGGGGGAGGGACAGGAAGATGGTCCTGGATTTCTGGGGGATCTTGGAACAGCGGATAAAGCAGAGCGTGGCCTCCTGCCTCTATGGGGCCCAGGCCTGGCTTTGCAAAAGAAAATCGAAGTTGAAGCAAACTGTCCAGAGGAGATGGAGCTGCGGAAGGTGGGGCTGGAGGAAGTGGGTCCTTATGGGTGGGTCTCCAAAAGACCTGTCTGTCCTTGGGCACTCACTCCCTGTTGCTCCTCTCTCGGCTTCCTGTCTTCCACAGTTGTGCAGTTTCCGAGGGTTTTCCACCACAACGACGCTCTACCTTGCCTCAGTCCCAAGACAGTGGGCCAGATGACAATGGACTGAGTCCGTGACTCAGAACAGACCTTCCCTGGTTTCAGTTGTGTGTGTGTTGGGCGTTTGCTTATGACAATGAAAGGACCAACAGTGTTTGGAGACTTCCTGGCCAGAGGACTGAGGACATCACTTAAGTTCCCCCATCCTGTCTCCCTTCCAAAATAACCACTCCACATTTCCTCAAAAGATTTTTTATTTTATTATTTATTTATTTATCTATTTATCTATCTATCTATCTATCTATCTATCTATCTATTTATCTATTTATTTATTTATTTATTTATTTATTTTTGAGACAGATTTCTCTGTGTAGTTTTGGTGCCTGTCCTGGATCTCGCTCTGTAGACCAGGCTGGCCTCGAACTCACAGAGATCCGCCTGGCTCTGCCTCCCGAGTGCTGGGATTAAAGGCGTGCGCCACCACTGCCCCACCCGAGATTTTTTTTTCTATTTGTTTTTAATTTGTGGTTCTGAGTGTGGTATGTGCACATGCCTGCGGTATCTGAAGAGGCCAGAAAAAGGTATTAGATCCCCTGGTGCTGGAGCTGCCTGATGTGGGTGCTGAGGCACTGAATCTAGGTCCTCTGGAAGATCAGCAAACACTCTCAACCACTGATCTATCTCTTCAGCTCTAGTCCCCCATTTTTAAAGGCTCCAGAATGCCCCTAGCTTAGAGTATTAACACCGTGTTGTCGGCGTCAAAAGACGTCATCGCGTGTTGTGTTTATGTCCACCCGCTTCCTCATTTTCCCTGTCTACATCTGCCATTTGAGATTTCCTGTTGTTGTGGTTGGAAATATTTGCCTTTTTAACCTTAATTAAACCTTCTTTGGCCACATCCACAGGCTGGGTAGGAAAACTGAGAATGAACGAACGGTGTGTTTGTTGCTAGGATTACGTGAGTATGTGGAGCACGGTTTTGTTTTGTTGTTGTGGCCTTTGAAGGGCTCTAGCAGGCCCGACCACGGTGGGAGCTGGGAGACGGTTCTATCGGTGAAGTGTTTCCTATGAGGACCCGAGTTTGATTCCCAGAACCCACTCTTTAAGAAGCTGTGTTTAAAAAAAGAAAAAAAAAAGCATGAGGGTGCAACACCTTTAATCCCAGCACTCAGGAGGCAGAGGCAGAGGCAGAGGCAGAGGCAGACAGATCTGTGAGTTTGAGGCCAGACTGATCTACAGAGTGAGTTCCAGGATAGCCAGGGCTACACAGAGAAATCTTGTCTTACAATAACCACCTGTCTCCCCCCCAAAAAAACCAATTAAAAAACTTAAAAAAAAGTTGACTGTGGTGGAGCCAATTTGTAATCCCAGAACTGGGGCAATGGAGTCAGGCTTGAAAACTAGCCACCTAGTCTGCTTGGAACGTTCCAGGGCTGAGCAACGGAGCAACCCTGTCTCAAAAAAAGGGTGGATGGTGTCTAAGGAAAAATAGTACCCAAGGTTGTCCTATGACTTACACACACACACACACACACACACACACACACACACACACACACACACACACACACACACACACAGAGTCATTATTGTACAGTGAATAGGGAAGCCTGGGAAGCCATGGATACTCCCTGGGAGTCCAGGCACCTTGGGGTGTATGGGGGGTGGTCAGAGTTCTGCCCTGGTGCAGTGCTTGGGTGGAAGCGGATTCTAGACCACCTGACTCAGGGCCGTCACGTGGGTATTTATCGGGAACAAACAGGTTTTGTGTGCATTTCGCGATCTTAGCGTCTTTAATTTGTTGCACAACAAATTGGAGAAGATTTAGCATGTATTTAATTAATTTGACGAAAATAGTTCAACAACCGTAAACAAGGCTGAGCAGAGACACTCGCTCGCTCGCTCTCTGGAAAGCGGAACCTCGGCTCCTCCAGAGAGTAGGGGGCGGGGCCTCGAGGCTGGGCTGCAGTGCAAGTTGGGGCCCAGGGAGCGGGGCGCAGTCTCTGCAGGCACTCGGCAGGTGTGGTTAGGGAGCTGGGCAGGAGGCTTAGGTAAGTCTTGGTAGCAGGCCTCCCGACACTCGTGGCCTCCTCATGAGGAAATGATGAGAGCCCCCACCGCACCCCCAGACTCCCGGCACTTCCTGGAGTCAGTGGCCCGAAATCCCTGGAGCCCATGGAACTGTTTGTCCGCCAAGGCGAAGCTTGCCCCGAAATAGTCTGTAGGAACTGAGGATTGTGTTTGGGGGCTGGGAGATGGCTGTCCATAACGTGCCTGCCCGGCAAGCATGAGGACCTGAGTTCGAGTCCCAGAACCCACATAAAGAATTGGGCACATACGCTGGTAATCTCAATTACTGGGAAGTAGAGACAGGATCCCGGGGCTCGCCGGCCAGTCAGTCTAACTGAATTGGTGAGTTCCTAGTCTCAGTGAGAGACCCTACTTCCAAAGCCAAGTTGGGGCTTAGGGACCCGGCTCAGTGGTTAAAAGGCCTGTGGCTCAAGAATGAGGACTCTAGTTCAGTTCTCCAGCACCCTTGTAAACATGGCATGCATCCATCCCCTCAGCGGCGAGGGGTGGGAACGGGAGGACCCTGGTGCTCGTTGGCTAGCCATTCTGGGTGACTTCCAGATCCAGTGAGAGACACTTAAACAAACAAACTCAGCAGAGCTGGAGAGATGACTCAGTGATTAAGGGCACTTGTTGCTCTTGCAGAGAACCCAGGTTCAGTTCCCAGCATCCACATGGTGGCTCACAGCCATCCATCACTCGAGTCCTGGGGGATCCGATGCCCCCTTCTGACCTCTTAGGTACACACGTAACACACACACACACACACACACACACACACACACACACACACACACAGAGGCATGCCAAATACTCATAAAAGTATAATAACTAAATCCAAAACTAAAAATAATAGTAATAATAAAGCAGAGATCAATAGGGGAGACACGTGACATGGACCTCTGCCTTCCTATGTGCCCACATGGGTGAGCACCTCTCCCCACACAAAATAAGGTAGATGGCTCCTGAGGAACAGCGCTTGAGGCTGACCTCTGGTTTGTGTGTGCATGATGTGTGTGCATGCACACACACACATACTAAATAATTGTGTTTGACTATGAGTAGCAGAACAACCCAAGAATGGTATAAACATTACATATATAGCATATAAGAAGTCCTGAGATAGGAGATTCTAATATATATTATATATATATATATGTCTATGATGGCCTCAGTGTCTCTCTCTCTTTTTTTTCCCCCCTTCTCTTCACCACCTTTGGGCACTTGCCTTGTGTCTTTAAAGCCCTCACCTGGCCCCAACACAGCTGCTACAGCTCCAGACATTACATCCACATCTCAATAGCATATACAAACAACACAAGCTTTCTAAGGCGGTGCAGCGTGTGATGTCTTTTTACCCGACACAGGCAATGACTGAATCGCCTTGTCTCTGTCATCACGGAGGGTAAGGGCTGTAGCACCTTTTGGGGGTCACTAGTTGCCCAGGATGACCTTGAACTCACTCGGGCCTGGAACTCGTTCTGTAGATCAGGCCATCTTGAGCTCCGCCTGCCTCAGCCTCCCTAGAGTAGCTGGGCTGAAAGGCTCGTACCACCAGGCAAGACTGTCTCAAAATAAAAAAAGAGGGCTGGGGGCCAGGCTCCGTAGTAGTGAGGAGCAGGGGTGTGGCTTGGGGGCGTGCCCTGGGATGCTCGCTAGGGCTAGGACACGTGAGTGTCTGTGCAGTCTGCGGCTTCTCTGTTAATCCAGACTGTTCCAAGGTAAAAGCTGCGGGCTGGCAGTGCGGGCCTTCCGGAGGTCGCTCCTACGTCTTTCTCTCCCCTGCCAGGCCCCAGCATGTGATGGGAAACTGGGCTCAAAGAATGGCCCGAGGTCATGCTGAGGGCGGAGCCTGTACCCGGGGAGAGGAGTCTCACCTGTGGGTGTGAAGGAAGGGGCTGGGTGGCTGGCCGCACCCCAGGGCCGGGCGGTAAGCTTCCCTTACCTGGCATCTTGGCTAATCGCTCAGTCAGGAGGGCGGATGTGGCTCTACATAATTATAGTTTGTTCAGTTCATAGGCTGTCAGCTGGGGGCCCCCAGGGGAGGGTGGGAGGAGGCTTTGGGCAGCGTAAAGCTCCCATTAGTAGAGCAAATTGGGCCTGTTTGGCAGTCTGTAGGCCTTGGGGAGGCCTCAGACCAGGCCCTGCCTGAGCTGCCTGTGTGGAGGATGCTGCAGGGAAGGAATTGAGGTCCTGGGTTGTTCAGCTTCCTTTTGAGATGGGCGGGCTTCATCTCCACTAGAAGCCCTGTGGCCCCTTGAATGCACCCGCCTGTATTCCAGGCCTCAGTTTCCCCAGCTGCCCAAGAAATGAGGTCCACCTGGCTCTTGGGGAAAAGAAAGAGATTTAAGATCTGGGTTTGGCAGTACATGCCTGCTCTCTCAGCATTTGGGAGGATGAGGCAGGAGGATTGCGAATTCTGGACTATACATGAGTTGTAGGCTAACCTGGGCTACATAATGAGACTCAGTCTCAAAAATCCCAAAACTCAAGTCTAGGGAGATGGCTCAGTTGGTACAGTGTTTGTCTTATAAGCACAGGGGCCTGGGTTTGATCCCTAGCACCAACATACAAAAGCTGGGCATGGTAGTGCATGCTTGAAACCCTTTCAGCGAGGAGGCAGAGGGTAGGGAATCCCTGGGGATCCCCGGAGTTCCCTGGGGCTTGTTCCAGCCAGCTTAGGCAGACGGGAAAACTCCAGGCCAAGACAAGACCCTGTCTCAAAAGACAAGGTAGACAGTCTCCTGAGAAATGACACTTGAGGTGGCCTTTTGACATTCACATGCATGTGTGCACAACACACACACACATACACACACACACACACACACACACACACACACACACACACACACACCATCTCAGTGAGTTAGAGGCCAGCTTGATCTACATGAGGAGTTCCAGGACAGCAAGGACTACATACATAATGAGACCTTGTTTCATCCATGAATAAATAAATTGGAAGAAAGAGAGAGAGAGAGAGAGAGAGAGAGAGAGAGAGAGAGAGAGAGAGAGAAGATCTCACATAACCCAAGTCACTTCTGATCCTTCTGACTCTACTTCCTAAGTGCTGGAATTACAGGGGTGCAACCCGATGTTGGGGATACGTGACGCTGGGGATCAACCAGAGTTCTGTGCATGCTAGGTAAACACTCTACCCAGTGAGCCACAGGCCCGATGGGGAACATTTCTGATTGAAACCGTAACAGAGCCATGTATGGTGCTTCACCGGCCTGAAGCCCCTGCACCTGGGAGGCAGAAGCAGGAGGATTATAAGTTCAAGGGCAGCCTGGGTTACACAGTGAATTGATAACAGCCTCGGCAATTTAGTGAGATTCCGTCTCACAAATCAAAAACAAAACAATTAAATCATAACAGGACTAGACCCTCCCCCCCCCCTTCCCCACTCTGATCCCTTTCCAAGCACAATCTTTCTTGGCTGTAGAGAATGTCCCTGCTGTCACACGGTCTTACAAGTGGTAGCGTTTCCTGTCCTTCCTGTGGGCAGGTCCTGAAGAAAGGCCGACGATGAGTTTCTGCTCCCCAGTCCGTCAGATCTGTGATCCTGCATTGCTTTCTAAGGCTGTTTGAGTGCAGGCTGCCCCCAGCCTCTCTTCTTCACCCCACTGAGCAGGCTCTCGTCGCTGCTTCTACCAACAAAGGAGGGCAGAAGGATCACTGTGGCTTCCTGAGGTTATGTCACATAATCTGAGGCTCTTTCAACATTATTTCCTGGGACATTTTTGTTACAACCCTGGGCTATCGCCGTAGGCCAAGTCTGACTACCAAGAAAGAGGTGGCCATATTGTAATGAAGCCCAAGTCACAGCGTTCTGGTCAACCTACCGTGTCTTTGAAATCTTTCCAGTCCAGACAGTAAACATACATGACCCAGCCTGTAATGATTGATGTTGACTGTCTACTTGACAGAGTCTGGAATCATCAAGGGGCAGGCATCTGTCCTTGTGTGTCTGTAAGGAAGTTTCTAAACTGGGTTGGGGTGGGAAGACCCACCCTGAACATGGGTGACACCATCCCATGGATTTGTGTCCCATACTGAACAACACAGGAGAAAGTGAGCTGAGGACCAGCATCCATCTCTCTCTGCTTCCTGACTGTGGATGCCACAGGACCAGCTGCCCCACGCTCCTGCAACTATGCAGTCCTTAGCACAGCGGGCTGCACCCTCAGCCTGTAAGCCCAAATCAACCCTTCCTTCCTTAAATTCTATCATGGTAGAGCGCTTGCCTAGCAAGCGCAAGGCCCTGGGTTTGGTCCTCAGCTCTGGGGGGGGGGGGAGCGGGGGGGAGAAAAGTAACTTGTTCATACTCCCGGATGGTCTCCGCACCGCCATCTTCCCTGGGAGGTTCTGAACTTAAGTGCGTTGTCTTCTCTAAGCCCAGTCTGACTTTCTAATCCACAGTGCCTATAAACACCCCATTGGGCTGTGAGCTAATTCTGTCTGTCTGTTTGTTTATTTGAGATAGTCTGGCCTTGAACTTTCTATCCTCAGTGAACAGAGTGCTGGGATTGCACACACACACTGTGGACTAGTTCCTTATATAACCATAAACCATCACCAAAGTAGTGATGTTATTTTTTCTTTTTACATTTGTTTATTTGGTGTGTGTGTGCTGTGGAGATCAGAGGACAACCTGTGGGGGTCAGCTCTCTCCTCTCATCATGTGGGTCCCACGATTTGAACTCGGGTCCTCAGGCTTGGTGGCAAGCCCCATTACCTGCTGAGCCATCTCTCCAGCCCCCAAAGCAGTGACATTTGAGTGACACATGATCTGTGAGGGGTTGGGAGGAACAGATTCCCTCCACACCCCCGGGCTCTGAGGCCCTGCATAGTTTGATCATGAAGTTGGATACACCCAAGTCCCAGTCCTTATGTGACCACATGTCTTAGTTTCTTCATGTGTAACATGGACTAGGTCATCTGTGAGCGTGTGGGTTTGCTGGAGAGTCCAGTGATGTGCCTTATAAACCATATTGGACAATTGCTTGCCTAGGTTGCATAAAGTCCTGGGTTTGATCTCCAAGCACGTATAACCCAGGCATGGTGGCATGCACCTATAATCCTTCACTCAGGAGGTGGAGGCAGGAGGATCAAGAGTTCAAAGCCATCCTTGGCTATAGAGTGAATTGGAGGCCAGCTTACAGAAAGTCCTGACTGTAGCTGAAGGTTTTTTTTTTTTTTGTCCTGCCCGACTCCCGCAGCCCTGCGGCCACTTGGACCCAAGTAAACACACAGAGGCTTATATTAATTAAAACTGTTCGGCCATTAGCTCAGGCTAACTATTGACTAGCTCTTACATTTAAATTATTTATGTTTAGCCATGTGGCTTGGTGCCTTTTCTCAGTTCTGCCTTCACATCTTGCTTCCTCTGTGTCTGACTGGCGACTCCTGACTCAGCCTTCCTCTTCCCAGAATTCTCCTTGTCTGTTTATCCCACCCATACTTCCTGCCTGGCTACTGGCCAATCAGCATTTTATCTATCAACCAATGGGAACAACACATTCACAGCATGCAGAGCACAATCACCTGTAGCTAAAGTTTTCCTGCCTGGCCCACAGTCAGGACAAATCCCTCTCACCTGCCAGTCCCACAGCCGCTCAGACCCGACCAAGTAAACACAGAGACTTATATTGGTTACAAACTGTATGGCCGTGGCAGGCTTCTTGCTAACTGTTCTTACAGCTTAAATTAATCCATTTCCATTAATCTATACCTTGCCACATGGCTCGTGGCTTACTGGCATCTTCACATGCTGTTTGTCATCGTGGCGGCTGGCAGTGTCTCCCTGACTCAGCCTTCCACTTCCCAGCTTTATTCTCCTCCTTGTCCCGCCTATACTTCCTGCCTGGCCACGGGCCAATCAGTGATTTATTTATTGACCAATCAGCAACACATTTGACATACAGACCACCCCACAGCAATCACCCATCACCTGACTCAAAACAAACAAACAAATAAGAAGCCATGGCTACAAATCCTGTGTGGTGGTCATTGGTAGGAGACAAGATTGTCTACGGCAATATGACCATTACAGTTTGAACGTGACACCCCCCTCCCCCAGGCCTACGTGTTTGAAGGCTTGTTCTCCACCAGGGGGCGCTGTCTGGGGGGAGGTTCTGAAACTTGTAGAAGGTGGGGTTTGTCTGAAGAAAGCAGTCTTGGGAGTGGGCCTGGAAAGTTATGCCATGCCCCTGCTTCTGGTTTTGCTCTCTCTGCTTCCTGGCCCACAGTCCTGTGAGGACTGCTCCCATCAGCATGACGGACTGGACCCCTCTGAGGTCCTGAGCCAAAAGTTTCTGTCATAATGACATGACACTAACCAACACAGCCTCAAACCAAGATGAACATGTCTCGGGTTTATCCCCTCCACTCCGTGCTTATATTGAGGGCAAGGCAGATGCAAAGTGAACACTGTGGCCTGTCTTTCTGGGGCAGGATGGCTCCTTGGACATCCCTGTCCACCATTCCGCAACATTGAACCATGGTTCCCTTGGGACCACCATGGCCCAAGGGATACTGGCTCCAGAGGAAACACCCAAAGCCATGAATGGTC